GTTCAGGAGATGCATGAAAACGTCGAGGTCTGCTCGCCAGAAGAGGGCTCCGGGAGAGAGTTGGTGTAGCTTTGTTATTCCTTCATTGCAGGAACGAAGACTACAGCGGTTGACTAGATGGTTTACTGTATTTACCGGGTAAGGTTGCCCTTTGGTTTATTGCCGACGCAACTCAACAACTTAAGCAAGATAAGCGGACTTCCTCACCGCTCGGAACGTGAACCAACGCTCACGGACGGCGCAGTAACGAGGATATGCCCTCGCGGCTAGGAACGGAAACGCACCATCCTGCAGATCATTGCCAAAAACCTCGACTGCCGCTGGGACATCCCAAACAATACAATCTCGGTTGGAATGTTTCCATTAAAGCAAACCGTCCTGGATTGTTTAAAACTAGATTTGAAGCTTTCGTGACTGCAAGGATTCATATTCCTAGGTTTTTTCGGTAAAGTCACGTAGGTATAACATCAAAATTAATGAAAATAAAATAAAAATCACGACGGTCCCACCTGATGACGGAGACTTGTGTTGCCTCCGCAACGTCGTGATTTTTATTTTATTTTATTTTCATTAATTTTGATGTTTTACCTACGTGACTTTACCGAAAAAACCTAAGAATATTTGTTTAAACTGTTTCCAAAGACCGGCATGAATGTTCCATTTCTCTGTTAAATGTTCACCATTCATCTCCTCTGGTTCGTGATGGCAGACTACTCGCGCTGTGACACACTGGGTGGGTGTGGCAGGACAAAGTGGCAAGCGAGTGGAGCAGAGGGAACGCCAACTAGTTCCCTTGCCAAATGAATCTCAACAAAAAACCGCACACAGAGTTGTAATGTTCGGGCCTTTAATAACCCTTGAACAAGATAAAATGTACGTCTTGTTTGGGGCGATGTGTCAGTGGTAAAGGTCACAAGGCTTTCACAATTTGTTCAACGAATTGTGCAACGCAACAGTAAATTCCTCTCCACTTAGTGCAACAAGTGAATGATAATTTATTCCATCAGCGGTAATATTTAACTCTTAGGTTATTTCCTTGTTGCCGTTGTTGTGATGGGAAATGAACAGAAACACATTCCTGCTGCGGAGGGAGCTGGTAGGAACGTTGGGTTGCTCGGTCAATGGCCTGCAGGGTCAACGGCGGCGTGGTGTATTCCGCAAATATGCCCGACTGTGAGGGGGGCACAAGCCGGCGTGAGTAGGTTAAACGTTGAGTTTTTAAAGGGCACCACGGGGTGACCAGCCCCTCCCCACCCAGCCCTCCCCACCCAGCCCCACCCTCCCCCAGCCCCCTCCCCCAGCCCCCCCCTCCCACCCAGCCTCCCACCCCAGCCCCCCCTCCCCACCCAGCCCCCCCCCTCCCCCCCCCCCACCCCCCCCCCTCTCCCACCCAGCCCCCCCAACCCCTCCCCACCCAGCCCCCCCTCACCCCACCAGCCCCCCCCCTCCCTGCACGACGGACGGACGGACACAATAATCCCCTGTGGGCTGGTGTAACCAGGAGGTTCTACCAGTAACAATGTTGCCAATTGCTTCGTTTTTATTTGGAAAGCCCCGGCTCTCCCGTGACGAGGTGGATCCGCACGACGATGTGTGTGAAGTGACTGTCATCGACAACACGACGATGAGGTGACGACGTGTATCCCACCGGCGAGGGTGGTGAATGGTGTCGTGGCTCTGGGGGCGGAGGGGCGTGAGATGTGGCTCACATTCCTAATGACTTGGTCAAGGTGCCACGTGCACGTGCATCTCACAGCGCGATTTGGGCAATTAGAACACACGACGGAATTGATTACACCTGCTTGCTTCATCAATTAAAGCCCATCGAGAATCAATTATTCTGAATGTGTTTGTGTGCATCGATTAGGGGCCGTCGTTAAATGACGTCACGCACCTGGCGTGACGTCATTTATGGACGGCCCCTTAACTACTTTTCAGAGGATTTCACCACGGCGCAGCCGTGTGTGTGTAGGTGAGTGTCTGTGTGTGTGTAGGTGTGTGTCAGTGTGTGTGTAGGTGTGTGTGTGTGTGTGTGTAGGTGTGTGTCTGTGTGTGTAGGTGTGTGTCAGTGTGTGTAGGTGTGTGTCACTGTGTGTGTAGGTGAGTGTCTGTGTGTGTAGGTGAGTGTCTGTGTGTGTAGGTGAGTGTCACTGTGTGTAGGTGTGTGTCATGTGTGTGTAGGTGAGTGTCTGTGTGTGTGTAGGTGAGTGTCTGTTGGTGTGTGTCTGTGTGTAGTGTGTGTCACTGTGTGTGTGTGTCTGTGTGTGTGTAGGTGAGTGTCTGTGTGTGTAGGTGAGTGTCTCTGTGTGTGTAGGTGTGTGTCACTGTGTGTGTAGGTGAGTGTCTGTGTGTGTGTAGGTGAGTGTCTGTGTGTGTAGGTGAGTGTCTGTGTGTAGGTGTGTGTCACTGTGTGTGTAGGTGAGTGTCTGTGTGTGTGTCGGTGTGTGTCTGTGTGAGTAGGTGTGTGTCACTGTGTGTGTATGGACAGGTGTGTGTCAGTGTGTGTGTAGTGACTGTGTCTGTGTGTGTGTAGTGACTGTGTCTGTGTGTGTGTAGTGACTGTGTCTGTGTGTGTGTAGTGTCTGTGTGTGTGTAGGTGTAGTGTCCTGTGTGTGTGTAGGTGAGTGTCTGTGTGTGTGTAGGTGAGTGTCTGTGTGTGTGTAGGTGAGTGTCTGTGTGTGTGTAGGTGAGTGTCACTGTGTGTGTGTAGGTGAGTGTCTGTGTGTGTGTAGGTGAGTGTCTGTGTGTGTGTAGGTGTGTGTCTTGTGTGTGTAGGTGAGTGTCTGTGTGTGTGTAGGTGTAGTGTCACTGTGTGTGTAGGTGAGTGTCTGTGTGTGTGTAGGTGAGTGTCTGTGTGTGGTGGTGTGTCTGTGTGTGTAGGTGAGTGTCACTGTGTGTGTAGGTGAGTGTCTGTGTGTGTGTAGGTGAGTGTCTGTGTGTGTGTAGGTGAGTGTCACTGTGTGTGTGTAGGTGAGTGTCTGTGTGTGTGTAGGTGAGTGTCTGTGTGTGTAGGTGAGTGTCTGTGTGTGTGTAGGTGTGTGTCTGTGTGTAGGTGTGTCTGTGTGTGTGTAGGTGTGTCTGTGTGTGTGTAGGTGTGTCTGTGTGTGTGTAGGTGTGTCTGTGTGTGTGTAGGTGTGTGTCCTGTGTGTGTGTGGTGAGTGTCTGTGTGTGTAGGTGAGTGTCTGTGTGTGTAGGTGAGTTGTCACTGTGTGTAGGTGTAGTGTCACTGTGTGTGTGTAGGTGAGTGTCACTGTGTGTGTGTAGGTGAGTGTCTGTGTGTGTAGGTGAGTGTCTGTGTGTGTGTAGGTGTAGTGTCACTGTGTGTGGTGTGTGTCACTGTGTGTGTAGGTGAGTGTCTGTGTGTGTGTAGGTGAGTGTCACTGTGTGTGTGAGGGTTAGTGTCAGTGTGTGTGTGGGTTAGTGTCACTGTGTGTGTGGTGAGTGTCTGTGTGTGTGTAGGTGAGTGTCTGTGTGTAGGTGTAGTGTCACTGTGTGTGTAGGTGAGTGTCTGTGTGTGTGTAGTGTGTGTCACGTGTGTGTAGGTGAGTGTCACTGTGTGTGTGTGGTGTGTGTCACTGTGTGTGTAGGTGAGTGTCTGTGTGTGTGTAGGTGTAGTGTCACTGTGTGTGTGTAGGTGAGTGTCTGTGTGTGTGTAGGTGTGTGTCACTGTGTGTAGGTGAGTGTCACTGTGTGTGTGTGAGTGTCACTGTGTGTGTGTGTGAGTGTCACTGTGTGTGTGTGTGAGTGTCACTGTGTGTAGGTGAGTGTCTGTGTGTGTGTAGGTGTAGTGTCACTGTGTGTAGGTGAGTGTCTGTGTGTGTGGGGGTGTAGTGTCACTGTGTGTGTGGGGTAGTGTCACTGTGTGTGTGTGGGTGAGTGTCACTGTGTGTGTGGGGGAGTGTCTGTGTGTGTGTAGGTGAGTGTCACTGTGTGTGTAGGTGAGTGTCTGTGTGTGTGTAGGTGTGTGTCACTGTGTGTGTGGTGAGTGTGCTGTGTGTGTAGGTGAGTGTCACTGTGTGTGTGTGCTGAGTGTCACTGTGTAGTGCTGTGTCACGTGTGTGTAGGTGAGTGTCACTGTGTGTGTGTAGGTGTGTGTCACTGTGTGTGTGGTGTTGTGTCTGTGTGTAGGTGTGTCACTGTGTGTGGGCTGAGTGTCACTGTGTGTAGCTGAGTGTCACTGTGTGTGTAGCTGAGTGTCACTGTGTGTGTAGCTGAGTGTCACTGTGTGTGTAGCTGAGTGTCACTGTGTGTGTAGCTGAGTGTCACTGTGTGTGTGTGATGCTGTGTGTGTGTAGCTGAGTGTCACTGTGTGTGTAGCTGAGTGTCACTGTGTGTGTAGCTGAGTGTCACTGTGTGTGTAGCTGAGTGTCACTGTGTGTAGCTGAGTGTCACTGTGGTGTGTGTAGCTGAGTGTCACTGTGTGTAGCTGAGTGTCACTGTGTGTAGCTGTGTGTGTGTAGCTGAGTGTCACTGTGTGTGTAGCTGAGTGTCACTGTGTGTAGCTGTGTGTGTGTAGCTGAGTGTCACTGTGTGTAGCTGAGTGTCACTGTGTCTAGCTGTGTGTAGCTGAGTGTCACTGTGTGTAGCTGAGTGTCACTGTGTGTGTAGCTGTGTGTGTGTAGCTGAGTGTCACTGTGTGTAGCTGAGTGTCACTGTGTGTGTAGCTGAGTGTCACTGTGTGTAGCTGAGTGTCACTGTGTGTAGCTGTGTGTGTGTAGCTGAGTGTCACGTGTGTGTAGCTGAGTGTCACTGTGTGTAGCTGAGTGTCACTGTGTGTAGCTGTGTGTGTGTAGCTGAGTGTCACTGTGTGTAGCTGTGTGTGTGTAGCTGAGTGTCACTGTGTGTAGCTGTGTGTGTGTAGCTGAGTGTCACTGTGTGTAGTGTGTGTGTAGCTGAGTGTAGCTGTGTGTAGCTGAGTGTCACTGTGTGTGTAGCTGCTGCTGCGTGTGACGAGGTGGTCTGGCTCGACTCGTCACAGCGGCACTGTGACACTCCGCGAGATGGCGCGCGCCAGCGCCTCGGCCACGCGGCAGACGGCGCCATGCGGCGCGCGCGTCCACCGCTGGGCACCGCCGCACCGCCCCCTCCTCCTCCTGCGCATTGCTGCTGCTCTCACGGCGGCCTTCTTCTACTCGCGAGTGGGGTAAGAGAGAGAAGCCGGGCTCGTCGAGAAGCCGGGCTCGTCGCGCGGCGTTGTGACGGGGGGGGGCTGCGGTGGCGATGTCGGGTCAATGAGTGGCAACGCGTCGCTGTGAAGATCGTCGAGGGAGAAGTCTGCACGCTGCTGCTGCTGCTGCGTTCGCTCGCGCTGGTCACGGTGCCGCCGGGCGGCTCTCCGTCCACGCGCCCGTCCGTGCGTCCGTCTGCCTGCCCGATGGCTGCAGGGCGCTGTCCGCGGACACGATCTGCGGCAAGATTCCGGGACTGACGCCACAGCAGCGGGCGCTGTGCCGGAGCCACCCGGACGCGATGGTCGCGGTCGGCGAGGGCGCGCGGCTGGGAATCGGCGAGTGCCGGCACCAGTTCCGATTCAGCCGCTGGAATTGCTCGGCGCTGGGTGAGGAGACGGTGTTCGGCCAGGAGCTCCCAGGCGGTGAGCGCCCCGACTCGGCGTCAGTTCGGCAGAGGGGCGGACCCGCGGTGTGCGGTCACCCTGTGCGTCTCTCTCTGAATTCTAGAACTCGCAACGCGCCACGTTTCTTATTTATTTAAAAGTTTTTCATTTCTCAATCATGGGCAGTCCTCTGCCTAGAACAGGAAAAAAGAACAGGAGAAAGCATGACCACAACCCGAGCCGGTGATCCTGTTGTAACAACCAGTGCCTGCACCACTCTCCCTGACAGCAGGTGCACCGAGTATGAAACACGAGAAACACATCCTGCACACAACCTTTGAGCGAACAAGTTTACCGTCGCCAGGGAAGAAACATGAATCCGCCTACCCTCGCAGCGGAGGCCGTCCTCAAACTCTGTGCCACACGGGGGTGGAGGCCACCGCCATTTCTCATTTGCGGCGTCACTGCCCACCATCTCTGTCTCCACCTACACCACCCTTTCCAACGGCCGACATGCAGGTGCCCTTAATCACTCTCCCGCGCGCCGCCCACAGGGCCGCCTCCTTCACGGCGCTTACGACGGCCCACGCCTGAGCCCAGACCTCCCCGCCCTCTGTCTGAACATCCCCCAAATATATTGGGCAATGTGGCCTTTACTGGACAAAAATGAGGCAGCAGAGGCTGACATAACTCCCACACCTCCCGAGCAAATGGGCACTGAGGGTGCGGGCCAATCTTCGGGAACACATGAACCGTCTTCATTCCGGCCTGTCCCAGGCCGCCAGCCAGGATAAATCCCGTTGTCTTTTCGTCAGGGCTGGCGATGTTACGTTTTTCTAAAGTAGTCGGTGCACGGCACCCCGTGCACCTGGCACCTCTGTACCAGCCTCTTGCTTAGACGTCTCCGCCAGGACGTCCCTGGGAATCCACGACGCGCGTGTCTGGGCCGGCTCACGCTTCACGACGTGTTCGCTTGCCGCGGTGCACGACCACCCCTGAGGCCAAGCCACGGGGGTGCCAAGCCACCGCAGGAGCCACGCCTGCCTGTGCCGTATGTAACGAGGCTTCCACCTGGAGTCCATTGGAGAAATACAGGCGCAGCGTGTCGCAGACCAGGATCGTGGCGAGGGTGCACGTGATATTCGGGGCGCCCCTCCCACCGTTCTCGACGCTTTTATTATTACACATCGTTTCCCGTTCCACTCGGCCCGTCGCGCCCCCCCCCCCCCCCCCCCCCCACAGATGAACCTGAAGAACATTCGCTGCAGTCTTTTCGCCATTTGCGCGCCCGGCGAGATCACGTAGGCCCGGTAGATAAGTGCCGGGAGGATTTCCACCCTCGGGACTAACATTCTACCTTCCATTGGAAGGCGCCTGTCCGCCCGGCCGGCCGGCCCGCCCCTCACCGCCCTCTCCCTTCCCATCCAATGCTTCGTCGCCGAGTCCTGCCAACAGAAGCTGACCCCTAGGATCTTGATCCCCTCTCCCAGCACCGTTATACCGGTGGACGGCCCTCGAATAGCCTGGGGTCACTGAAGATCAGCATCTCACTCTTCCTCACATTTACGTTAGATCCCGAGGCCAAAAATAATCTATCCGCGAGTCCTAGGGCCTCGTATACCGAGGAGACATCTCCACTGAAATGACGACATCGTCCATACACATGGCTATTTTTTCTGGCTCCCTACACCCCTTTAATCCGCTGATTTCCCCTGACCGCCTGGGCAAAGGGCTCCATTCACAACATGAATGACACCGGTGACATAGGGAGACACCCCTGTCGCACACCTGACCCAGTTGGTATCTCCTCAGAGAGGACTCCATGTATCAGCAGGCTGCCCGTGAGCTTATGATACAGCAGTTGCCTTATCCAGCCGATCAATTGTTTCCCTACCCCCATCACCGCGACCCCGCGTCTCCCCCCCACCTCCCACGCGTCCCTGCTCCACCACCCTGCTGCTCACACCGCCCCCCCCCCCCCGTGCGTGGGCTCCCCGACACGAGCAGGTAGCCGAGAAGCGGCCTTCGCGCACGCCGTGATGGCGGCGGCCGTGGCGTATGCCATCACGGCGGCGTGCGGCCGGGGCGACCGGAGCTGGTGCGGCTGCGACGGCGCCAAGCAGGGCGGCTTCTACGATGCACAGGGCGGCTGCTCGGCCGACCTCAGCCACAGCCTCGAGTTCTCGCGCCTCTTCGTGGACGCGCGCGAGGTCCAGCGGAGCGCACGCACGCTCATGAACCTGCACAACAACGCCGCCGGGCGCAAGGTGTCAGCGATTTCCCCACACCAAGCACTCCTCCAGATCCAATCCAACGCAGGCGCTGAAAACAAAATCACCCCTCCCCACTCTCTCCCTCCCCCCCTTCCCACCCCCCATTATCCTACCTCTTCTCCTCGTCATTTTTCCGGCACAATGCTTATTTTTAGCTAAGGAAAGCTGTCTCGAGTGTGGACCAATTAACTTCAAGGACAGTGCATATCATTATCATCATCAGAGTTGTTTCTTTTTGTTTGCATTTTGACTGCTTGTGTTGTGGTTCTTGTGGTTCTTGCAAACATGTCAGTTTTTGTACCAGTTGAAAGGGTAAAAACCTATCACTATATTTTGCCACTGGTAAAGGAGGTGTCTCATAGTGTAAATGGGGTTGTTGCTGGGCTCTGGTCCAATCACACGGCCGGGGTATTGGGGGGCGGAGCCTGGTCTGCGGGGCGTGTGGGAGGGGCCACCGTTCACCTCGGCTCCAATGGGAGGCGAGGTGAATGGGGGCGGAGCCAGCGGGGCAGTATGGGAAGGCCGGATCTGACGATCCGGAAGGAGAGGAGTCAGGATCACATGAGGGGGAATGTATATTAGTGGGAGCCCGGAAGAGATCGGGGCAGTCGGGAAGTTGAGAGTCTGAACCACGCTGGGTGGTGAGAGATCCGCGCCATCGGCCACGTGGCCGAAGGTCCTCAGCACGCCGTCGGCCAGCGGGGTGCGGAGTGCGGGAGTAGAGGAGCTAACGGAGGAGCGTGCGTGGCACGCGAGAGGAGACGACGCTGGTCCGTGGAGGAGACCAGCGGGGTGCGGAGAAGAACCTAAATAGAAGACAAGCGGAGACCAGCAGTGGCTGACGGAGTCTTTTATTACATGTTTGTGTGTTGCCATAAAGGCTCATATATTGGAAAACTCCAGCACAATTGCCGCTGGTGTAATAAAATTATTAAAGTCAAAGTCTGTCTCTGTCTCTCTGTGTCTCTCTGTGTCTCTCTCTGTCTCTCTCTGTCTCTCTCTGTCTTTTTGTCTCCCCCCCCCCCCACTTGTCCCCACCTACCTCCCCGATGCTCTCCTGCCCTCTCGTCTCTCTCTCCCCACCACGCGCCGCCAGGTGCTGGAGGAGAAGATGAAGACGGTGTGCAAGTGCCACGGAGTGTTGGGCTCGTGCACCACCAGGACGTGCTGGGCCACGCTGCCCCAGTTCCGCGAGGTGGGCTCCGCGCTCAAGCGCAAGTACGACGAGGCGGTCCACGTGGAGCCGGTGCACGCCGGCCGCTACCGCCACCGCTACCCCGCCTTCCTCCAGGCGAGGCGCTCGCGCGGCCACCGCAAGCCGCTCCACACGGAGCTCGTGTTCACCGAGAGCTCGCCTAGCTACTGCGAGGAGGACCGGCTGACGGGCAGCGTGGGCACGCGCGGCCGCCCGTGCAACCGCACGTCGCCGCACGCCGACGGCTGCGAGCTGCTGTGCTGCGGCCGCGGCTACGACACGCGCCAGTACACGCGCTCGTGGCATTGCAAGTGCGAGTTCCGCTGGTGCTGCTACGTGCGCTGCAGCACGTGCAGCGAGGGGCGGAGGAGTACACGTGCAAGTGACGGCGGCGGCGGCTCGCTGGGAAGCTGGGGCCCCGACTCCTCCGCCGGCTCGATCGCTCGCCCCGTCGACTGTCGGCCATGGCCCCCACGGGCCTCGCCCCTGGCAACAACAATCATGGCCGGACAAAAGTGTCAGCGGATGTCGCTGCCTGATGGCGCGGCTGTCGTTCCGCACCTCGCAGTTGCCCTCAACTCCCTCCCTCACCCCACCCCACTCACCACCCCACCCACCGCCACCCTGCGTGATTGCCGACGGGGTGGGGGGGGGGCGCCAGGCGGATCCCTGCAAGAGATCTGCAATCGGCTCCCGAGCCTGGGACAAAGTAGCCACCGAGATCTCAGCATGATGGGAGAGAGAGGAGGAGTCGGTGACTCGTCCACATTGCTCACCATGCCCTGCCCCTCCCCCCCACCACCACCTCTGCCCCTCCAACCACATGCTGCTTCTCCCACTCAGATTTGCTGACCACGAGGACCCACAAGTTCTGTATGTCGCCGGCACCGAGTGCAGCATCTCCCAGTGAATCCCAGCGTCCCCCCCCCCCCCCGGCGAGCATTTCCCTCGTCGAACACGGGGGAAATGCGTGGACTCGATGATCTCGTGTTTTACAGGGAAAGGTGCGCATGGAAGGGCGGCAGATGGTCCAAAAATGTGTGGTTAAATATTTTTTGCATGGTTAATAACATATTTCCAATGATTACTAAGTGTGTACCCCTCATCACGGTTGAAATTATGTCTGTGTTTGTAAATTTGGATGGCCTCGTATACAAACCTTTGATGGTAGCCAGAGGGTTTGCAGAGCACCTTAGTCTCGGAAAAAACAATATCATGAGAGCCCACCGCATTGTAGCAATGATCGGCAAAGGCGGAAGACTCAATTTTGCCGTGTTTCAAATCTTGCTTGTGCTCGCGGACACGATCAGAGACATGACGTTTCGTTTCCCCAATGTAACAATCACCACAGCTGCAACTCAGTTTATAGACTCCAGGGTATTGCAAGTCAGGGATGACATCCTTCACAGATGGGCTCTCATGATATTGCTTTTTCCGAGACTAAGGTGCTCTGCAAACCCTCTGGATACCATCAAAGGTTTGTACACGAAGCCATTCAGATATACAAACACAGACATAATTTCAACCGTGATGATGGGTACAAACTTAGTAATCATTGGAAAGATGTTATTAACCATGCAAAAAAAGATTTAACTACACATTTTTGGACCATCTTATCTGACAGGCACTATTTTACTTTACCGAGTGTTGACATCCCCAGCGTTTAACAGTACTCTCCTTTTTCGTATTTGATTGTCAGCCAACACTGGGTAAAACAACATGGGCATTTTCGTTCTCTTCTGTCATGTGCACCAACAGGGGCTTGCGCACAAACACGTCCACGTCGACGTCTACGTACACCTCTTTTAGCACCCCCCCTCCCAATACGTTTCATTCATTGGCTGAAAAGCTCCCCCCCTCCTCCCCCTTAACTTGTATGACCCCAAGAACACCATCCCCACCGTCAAACATGGAGGTGGAAACATTATGCTTTGGGGGTGTTTTTCTGCTAAGGGGACAGGACAACTTCACCGCATCAAAGGGACGATGGACGGGGCCATGTACCGTCAAATCTTGGATGAGAACCTCCTTCCCTCAGCCAGGGCATTGAAAATGGGTCGTGGATGGGTATTCCAGCATGACAATGACCCAAAACACACGGCTAATGCAACAAAGGAGTGGCTCAAGAAGAAGCACATTAAGGTCCTGAAATGGCCTAGCCAGTCTCCAGACCTTAATCCCATAGAAAATCTGTGGAGGGAGCTGAAGGTTCGAGTTGCCAAACGTCAGCCTCGAAACCTTAATGACTTGGAGAAGATCTGCAAAGAGGAGTGGGACAAAATCCCTCCTGAGATGTGTGCAAACCTGGTGGCCAACTACAAGAAACGTCTGACCTCTGTGATTGCCAACAAGGGTTTTGCCACCAAGTACTAACTCATGTTTTGCAGAGGGGGTCAAATACTTATTTCCCTCATTAAAATGCAAATCAATTTATTACATTTTTGACGCGTTTTTCTGGATTTTGTTGTTGTTATTCTGTCTCTCACTGTTCAAATAAACCTACCATTACAATTATTGACTGATCATTTCTTTGTCAGTGGGCAAACGTACAAAATCAGCAGGGGATAAATACTTTTTTCCCTCACCGTATATATGATGGTAATTTTAGCTGATGGAACAGGAAATAATCGTGATTAAATGTATGTAAGTATACATTAATGTAGTATATATAAAGTAGAAACAAGCGGAGTGCCACATGAGGCAGTTAATCTCTTGGATAAATCATACCAAAATAACGGGTACGTAACTTTCTTAGGGTGATATTGCATCTAAGCTGATACTTTTTTCTAGACGACTAAATGCGACATTAAACTAAGAACGTGTCAGGCTGTAGTCGCTGCAGCCTCATTTATTCACAACTTACACATTCAGTGCATTCTCTAATGAAAATACGAAATGCAGTAAATCCTACTACACAGTCAGTAGCTACTACTGGCTCAGTAGATACTACTGCACAGTCCGTCGATACAACTACAGAGTCAATAGATACTACTTCTTCTGTTGTATGTAGGGCGTGTAGCTATATATAACTACGTTGGGGTAAAGATATTTTTGAGGGGGAGTCCACAATTTCCAGAAACCTTTGACATCAACTATTTACCGCACACTTTCTTTAACTTTTCACGTGAGGTCCAGGCACACCAGGAGGTCCCATAGGACCCTGAGACCCTGGCACACCCTGAACAAACACAGACACAGCTTTAATAAAAACGAGTATTGTATTTAAATGCCACACATTCATACATGTCAACCCATTCGGCTTACCCCTATTCTTGTACAGGGAAATTTTGATTTCCAGCTCCGTACGGCGTGCAGCCGTTTCAATACGACAAACACGTTCAGCAGGAGACATCGCGCCCGTTGAGCACGCGCTAGCTCGGCCACCTACTTGCTGCCCTGCAACGCAGTTACCCTTCACGCAAGTTGCCCAACTCGTGCAATCATCTCTGCGTAGGCCACGAGGTTCGTGCCGCCAGCGGCCGGCAGCGAAGTGAAGGGTGAACTCGAACGGCACTGCCTGGTCTACCGCTCACCGCTCGCGGCAGCGCAGCTACCGTCGAGTGCACAGGCGGTGCAACTGCGCCGGTGCGCCGGAGGGGTCGAAGCACCCGGGTGCGAACAGAGGGGGGCGGGTAGTTGCAAGCCCCGTGCCGGCAATGGTACGACGCTGACGGACGGTGAGCGGCGGCGGGTTCTGCGCCGCTACGTTGCTGGGGCAGTGCACCTCACGCGCTCGTGCGCAAGGCGCCGCACGGCGCAGTTGCCCAATCACACTTGGCTCGGTCGCGTGTCTCTTTGGAGAAGTTCCATCGTTACACGCCTCGTTCACCAAATGTGGTTTGACGTTTACACTATGAGACATCTCCTTTGCCAGTGGCAAAATAGTGATAGGTTTTTACCCTTTTCAACTGGTATAACAACTGACACCTTTATAGAAGGCATCATGTTTGCAATAACCACAACACAAGCAGTCAAAATGCAAACAAACAAGAAACAACTCTGATGATGATAATGATATGCACTGTCCTTGAAGTTGATTGGTCCACACCCGAGACAGCTTTCCTTAGAGCCTAGTCTCCATTGGTGTTGGACCAGATGACACCAAAAGGCGTACAACTCAAAGACAGCGCACTATCAGAGTATTGAGAGCTCGGGGTAAACATTTACACTATGAGACCTCCTTTACCAGTGGCAAATATAGTGATAGGTTTTTACCCTTTCAACTGGTACTGTCTCGGATGTGGACCAATCAACTTCAAGGACAGTGCATATCATTATCATCATCAGAGTTGTTTCTTTTTGTTTGCATTTTGACTGCTTGTATTGTGGTTATTGCAAACATGATGGACTTATGGCACTTGTTTTATTAAACTCTTGAATAAGATTTGGTTATAACTGTTGATGTTATGTAGCTGTAGATGTGACACAAACTATTGCTTTCTGAAAGATCTTGTAAAAGACAAGGGCAAAATTCACTTGTTTTAAAGTTTAATGATAACAGACCACTTTGCATTACTTATAACTCCTGTTAAAAATGTTCATGAGGTAAAGATATTTAACTCATGGAAATTTAAGGTATTCTATACAGTTTGTTCAATGTTATCTGACTGAATGAAAGGCAGAATTGCGTTTTTAGAGTTGTTCACGTCTGCCTGAGTGGCTTCTATTTGGTTACATTGTCATTTGAAAAATAAAGTTAATTGTGGCAATGAAAATTGTTTTAGAACAGTGTGTGCTGTATGTGCTGTGTGTGTGCTGTATGTGCTGTGTGTGTGTGTGCTGTATGTGCTGTGTGTGTGTGTGCTGTGTGTGCTGTATGTGCTGTGTATGTGCAGTGTGCTGTGTGTGCTGTGTGTGCTGTGTATGTGCAGTGTGTGTGCTGTGTGTGTGCTGTGTGTGTTGTGTGTGCTGTGTGTGTGTGCTGTGCGTGCTGTGTGCTGTGTGTGTGTGTGCTGTGTGTGTGCTGTGTGTGTGTGTGTGTGTGTGGTGTGCTGTGTGTGTGTGTGTGTGTGTGCTGTGTGTGTGTGCTGTGTGTGTGTGTGTGTGTGCTGTGTGCTGTGTGTGCTGTGTGTGCTGTGTGTGTGTGTGTGCTGTGTGTGTGCTGTGTGTGTGCTGTGTGTGTGTGTGCTGTGTGCTGTGTGTGCGGTGTGTGTGTGTGCGCGCGGTGTGTGTGTGCTGTGTGTGCAGTGTGTGTACGTGTGGTGGTGTGCTGTGTGTGCTGTGGTGTGTGCTGTGTGTGTGTGTGGTGTGTGTGTGGTGTGTGCTGTGTGTGTGTATGTGTGTGTGTGCTGTGTGTGTGTGTGTGCTGTGTGTGCTGTGTGTGTGTGCTGTATGTGTGTATATGTATGTGCTGTGTGTGTGTGTGTGTGTGTGTGTGTGTGTGTGT